GCTTGGCTCTTATTCTTTCTCTTTTGGGTATAAAGATCTTTTAAGAACTTGGCATAAGTTGGACTTTGCTTAATTGCATCAAAAAGTGGAAGATTAATCTTCACTTGCCTAAACATTTCAATGATTTCATTGGTCTTGGTCTTTTGTTTATCAAGATAAATGGATCATTTCAAGGCATCCGGAAATGGAGCTCTTGGCTCAAAAGCTTTTTCAAAATTCAACACAAGAATTTTTAAAATCCTTTTTCAAAGCTTTGTTTAATTCATCTTTCAAATCAATTTTGGACTCACTTATCAAATCACTTTCTAACACTTTCTCATTTGAATGATCATACATATGTAACGAAGGAGGAATATGATAAGAAATGGGGATGGATATAAGCCGACATTCTTCTTTTCACCTAGGTTTCTACCATTTTTAGAAAATAAGGACCTATGCATGGAATTTTCACTCATACTTTCATACAATTGCCACATATCATTTTCATACTTATTAAGATAAGAACCACTCATAGATGTATCAACCATACCCTTGTGATTATCCGATAAACTTTCAAAGAAATATTGGACTAGTTGCCACTTAGGTATGTCATGATGAGGGCACTTTCTAAGCAAATCATTAAATCTTTCCCATGCCTCATGAAACATTTCCCCATCCCCTTAAGAAAATTCTCTAATTGAAGCTCTCATGGCATTGGTCTTAGAAACCGGATTGTACTTTTTCAAGAACTCTTGTTGCATTTCTGCCCAAGAAGTTATCGAAAAAGACCTAAGATTGTTGAACCAATATTTTGCCTTGTTTTTAAGGGTAAAAGGAAAAAGTTTAAGTCTTAAAACTTCTTCTGGCATGTCTGTGTATTTTACGGTGGAACACACTTTAAGAAACTCATCCAAATGCTTATAAGGTTCTTCACTAGGAAGTCCATGATAGTTTGGAAGCATTTGAATAGTTTGTGGTTTAATTTCATAATGATGTACTCTAAATGGAGGCAATTGAATGCAAGTGGGTGCATTGTATTCATTAGGCACATAATGGTCTCTTAATGCAATGGGATGATTTGCAATTGGTGGTGCTAAACGAACTCCTTGATTAGCTTGAACTATGGGGGGTTGTGGAGCAAATATTGTCCGAGGCTTTCCCAATGGAACTTGGCCTTGTTATTGTTGGTGAATGAATGGTCTAGGCATGCCTAATGGTACTTGAACATTTTCATGATGCATATTAGGGTGGAGGTTGCCTTGTTGGTTTATGTGACCAAGGTTCTCCACATGGTCGTTATTCAAATCCTCTATTGGTGAAATGGAGTGATGAGGACTACCTCTCCCCCTAGGATTACGAACAACCGATTCAAGATGTAAATTAGGAGGGACAAGAGTATGATTCAATGACCTACAACCATGCATACACTAGCAAAGCAAATAACAAGCAAGTAACAATCACTTCGCCCCCGCAACAATTCAATCAACAAATCTCCACATTCAATGATCCTATACTTCCATGCTTAAACAACATGCAAAGAAAAGTAAATTGCCTCCACGCGAACTCACGATTTATCTAAGAAATGAAAAACAAGCCTCCACGCTGGCCGACGATTTAACTAGAGCTTGAGTTAGAAAGATCTCACAAAGGGTCCTTAAGCAACTTCAATTCATTTTCAACTTCCAAACTTTGCTATGCTTTGCATTTTTTTTAGATTTGTAGTCCTTATTGTGCTTAGCTTAGCTCCTTACTTTGAATTCTCTTTTACTTAAACTCTTTGCACAATTTCACCTAGCCAAATAAGAACAAACACAATAAGTAACCAAAAATAAAATAAAGAAAAGACACGATCAAAGGACTAATCCTTAATACTTTCCAAAAAAGGGTGTTGCCAATTAAATCCTCGGCAACGGCGCCAAAAACTTGGTGTTCGTCAAGCACCGAAGCCTAACGATGTGCAAAAGATAGTGAATGTGCAATGTAGCTAAGTTTTACATTTATAAATGCCACTACTACCATTAACTAAAAATATAACAAGGGTGAGTAGAGATCGTCCCAAGGGATTGAAGGACTACAAGTAATGGAAACAATGCTTACGGTTAGTAGGTCGAGTGATCAAAGGTAGGTTGTTTGGTTGATTAAACTACAATTAAGATTAAACAAGATCAATATAAAACAAGTAATTAAATGATAGAGAAAATAAGAGAGAGAGATCTTGGGATTTAGAGATTACCACTAAGCATCACCTTTCTATACACTCAATTCATAATTAATGAGGGGGAAAACATATGTTGCAACAATAGTGAGTGTGTGTGGTTGTTTTAACAAGTATGGATGACCAATTAAGTATATATTGTCTAAATAACACAATGAATAGCACAATACATCAAACTAAGTCATTAATCCTTCTTTAAGCTCACAATCCAAACACATCACATAATTAGAGAAATATATTACTTGCATTCATAAGTATGGAACATCAAATAACAAGCATGGATTGTCCTCCTATTTAACAACTAAGGTAGCTACACTACATCTAAGTTAATGACATAGAAATTAAATTAATTAGACTAAGGAAGAGACACAATCCATCAAGAAATGAGTATGAACCATCAAATAAACCACAAGAGCATTCTATTAAGCACTAAGTCTTGACAATCTCTAAATCCATAACATCAACACACATAGACATGCATCAACAATATAAGAGATAAAGATAAACACATGAACATCTATCCTAGCATACATAGATATATGGATAGAATGAAATGATCAATTGGAAGAATTAAACCACACAAATCATTGAATAAATAAGATCTATGTATATAAATATATCAAAACATGTATTACAACACAAATCCCCTAAAAAATACATAAATCAAGGTAAAGAAAGCATGCTTAGGGTTAACTCTAGCCCCAAGAAGATGTCTAGCCATTCATGAATGGTGTCCTCTAACCCTCAAGGGCTATCTCCATGGTAGAGTGCTCTTCTTCTTGAGGAAGATGGAAAACCTCTCAAGAATGTCTCTAGCCTCCTCTTCTCTTTTCTTCCTCTCTAAGAATTGTATCTAAGACTATAAAAAACTATCTATCTAAGCATATGTGTAAAAGTGGCTCATATTCCTAATATAAGTAGCTCAAATGTCACACCCAATGGTCTAGGCTCGTACACAAGGGCTCCTCTAATGATTGCATAATGAGATAACTTTTAATGAGCTGGAGATATATTTTTTTCGAATTTGAGAGGGTTCGATTGATCGAACTTGTGATGTGATCTACATGACTGAGATCTATCAAACTTTGGCTGGATCGATCCTCCCATGGCGGCGCCTTTTTGGATAAGGACAAATCTGAGATATTTTGGGGAATGAGACAAAGTGGTAGGTATGGTGGTACAACAGGATAAGATGGAATCTTTTCGATTGATCTGAGAATTGTTGGATTGATCGAACTTTGTGGGATCTTTGAATATGGACAAAAGAGCTTGGATCCATCTTAGAGAGTCTAGATCGATGAACTTTTGATCGATCGAAGTATTCTTGAGATCGATCAAACCTGCTGAATTTCCACACTTTGCTTCAATCTGCTTCCACTTTGCTCATTTCTTCCATCCAGCTTGAGTTATCTTCTTTTAAGCTCTTATTTGGCTGAATTAGCTTATTTTGGGGATCAGCACCTAAAAAGAGTAATAATACGAAATTAGTCTAAAACGGAAAAGTAAGATAGATAAAGGTCCTAGAATACCTAAGCTTAAGGGGTTTAAATACGCACTCTTCAGCGCTCATCAGGTTCTTTATATATTGTTCGGTTTTATTATTATACTAATATATAATTATATTTTATTTAATATAAAATACATTATTACAAAATTATATATATTATTGTTTTATAATAATAATTATATATATATATATTATATTTTTTATAATATTTAAATACCAATACTATAGTATATGATACTATTACACTTTTGAACCACAGAAAGAAACACAGGATTATATCCAGAAAACTTGTAGTATCCCTAGCCAATAAATGTGGATTTTGGATCTATAAAATTCTTGAGTGAATTATAAGTAGAATATTGAATCTAATTAAATTGAGACAGTCTTTGCCGAAGTTAACTTAGAAAATGAAATTCATACAAGTGTCCAGCGTTAGAGCTTATACAGAAACCAAAAAAGCTAGCTATGTCATATGTAAGATAACAAACCAGAAAGACTAAAAATACATAGCTAAAAGATATGATCTTAGAAACTGTAATAGGATTTTAACCACATTATTGCATGTATACTTCAGCTCTTCAACATATAGCCTGGAGCAAGGTGAGGACAAAAAGGAAAATGGCAGCAAGGATTTATATGAATGTCCACGGGTTACCAAAATAGGCACGCTTAAGTTTTACTAGAAATCTCGGCCAGATACGCTTGCAGTAATCAGTCACCTTGCTGCACGGGTCAGTGAAGCAGAAACGATCTACATAAACATCCTTGCAGATATTATTGTAGATATGTGCCACCTCTTCGTTCGAATCCAAATACTTTCGTATCACTCCAGCTTCTACAATCAGATCAACATCCTTTCCGGTGTTAATGAGTTTATTCACAAGGAAAGCATGAGATGTGAAATAACGCTTATCTTCAAACTAAAATTGCTCGACAACAATGAGACTTCTCAAGAATGTTTTGGTCGAGGAAGTAATGGGGAAAGGTGGGATTACAAAGCGACCCCTTCTAAACACCTGTAAACAAGAATTATCAGTAGTAAAGAACTTTAGGTCGAATAGGTTGGTTCCGGAGCCTGCAGGCTTAAATAAGACTCCAACCAAGTCAAGTTGTGTTGAGGAATATTTGAAAATGGGCCGTTCTTTGTACTCCGGGAGATGAACAACAGGACTAGAAGGCGTGTAGATAGAAGGCGCGAAGCAACTTTGTAAAAAAAAGAGTAGATGTGGGGACACTGAAGGCCACTTTGGTGGTCTTGGTATGCCCATCATGCCCTCAAAGAATACGAAGATACAATTTTCAAGAGAGAGTTGGCTGTCGTCTATCGTCTGTCGAGATAGTTGCCACTGTCAGGTTGAACAAATCGTGAAGAACATTGAAGGGAATCTGGTTCTCCAGTCGTATCAAGTCATGTTGGACCGCGGACCTCATGGAATAGTTGTTCAGAATGGGGTCAATATTATTGAGGATGGGGTCAGTAATGTAGACATCCGTACTCCTCCGGTTGTAATTCCTGTATAGAAGTTCGATTATGAAACAACCATCAATAAGCATCATTTCTGCAAACTTTCCTTTCACTGCTACCTCATTTTGAGCATACATCGCGCAAGCAAAGGATTCCATCTCTACCATGGAATTCACACAAAGTTGTTGCGTTTGCTTATAATTTTTGAATCTAAAGAATAGGCAGTGCATGTAGCTCAATTTGTCGTCCTCCATTACTTGGAGATGTTGTGCCTCTCTGTGAAGAGGTCCAATGGACACAATGCTGTGGGTATAGGCACCTTCATTTACTTGACGAATCTCAACTGGAATCCTATGAATGAGTGATACCCAGGTACGCCCGTAGTTCTTCAGGACCTCAAAATTATTTGTGCTGCTGTGGATCTTCTTATCTAGGGACTCCAAAAACCGAGTCGCCGTTGTCTCTTGGCCTGAAGAAGATCTTCTTTGGTCCGCCATCCCATCAGCAGCCGTATCTTTTCCAATTCCTGAATCAGCAGAAGCAATATTTGAGTGATGGATGATCAAATAGCTGGGAGATCTGGGGGTACGGTTCTCCGGATTATTGTAAAAATTATTATATGAGTGATGATGAAACAGTTGGGAGACCAAGGTACGGTACCAGGATAATCTAGAACTTCTTAAGAGGGAGGACCTAATTAAATATTTAATTAATGTTTTCAAGTGATTTGTTACTCAAATTAAAGCAACCTTAATTAATTACGATGATAATACCAGAATTGTGTGAATAAATTCTAACACCTCAAGATTTGTTCACATTACCCAGTCAAAATCAAAACAAATATACGTAGGAGACAGAACTAGAAATTCTTATTTTTAATTATTTATTTTGAATTATTTTTAGTATTAGTATATATGAATCCATAACTGAAGGGCATAAAATCTCACTGGGCCAAGTCTAGCCCGGTCCATCAGTCCAGAAGGACGCCCAACGACCCTCCAGCCCATTCACTCTCATTCTATGCCTGTATTGATCGACAGACCGGCCCAAGAAGAGACCAAGCCCGATTAGGAGGAATGAAACCCATATTTTCTTGAGGTTTGGATAGGACAAAGGGATTTTGCGGGTAAGGAGAGACTTTTATAAATAGAAAAATGCAAGAAATGTAAAGGGATTCGATTAAAGGGTAAAAAATTAACTTTCTAAATAGAGAGCAGTTTTTTGCGCATTCAATAACTAATAAAGAACAAATTAAAGAAAAAATGAAAAAATTTTGATCACCGAGGGTTGCAAATCAATCGAGCTAAGTCGAGTTTTAGATTGGCTCACCTTAGTGGATGAGTATTTGGACAGGGCCCGTACTCGGACCTCAGCTCGAGCCCGTTAACAACTAAAACCTTTAGAGATATATATAATAATATACACACCAAAAGACACACGTGTATATTGTGGAACATCATATCTACATAACTGTGTTAGAATTCATATATAAATATATACGCACACAACTCACTGGTGTGGGACAAGTTGTCGCTGAGGACGGGTCAGATCTGGCTTCCACAGCCTCAATCTCAATATCGGACGGCATCGTATGAGAACTGAGAAGCAAAGTGACGAGAGAGAAAGAGACAGAAGAGGGGGAGACGAGAGGGAGTGTGGGTGTGAAGGTTTGGAGCTGCAAAACGACATCGCTTTATAATTTAACTTCTTGTCTTTTTCTTTTTAAAACTTAATTAGGTGAGTACAATATAAGTTTTGGAAGCATGTAATAATATGCCCACTTGTCAAGACGTCGTCACTAATTCAATTTGAGGACCGAGAATTCTAGCCGAATTCAAAGACTAAACATTTACTACTTAGACGACCGGGCGCGAATCCTCTTAAATCACTTTGTCTTGCTATCCATGCATTACACATTACTTGATCTATATTTAATTACACCTTTATTTGTTTAAGTGTTATTGAGAACGTATTTGAATGCGGTAATTACACAGAGTAATTTACTCTCTCACCATTAGCTTTACTTTCAAAATAATTCACATAATGCTGAATAACTAATCTCATACATAAAATTTAGTCCAAAAAATTAGAGATAGTGATCGACACCTAAGGATCAAACTTTGACCGAAAGCTCCCAACTGGTCGACGTATAACCATTTCACTTTGACCGAGTCCTATATACATGAAAAAAAAAATAATAATAAAAAATTAAAAAAATACCAACCAACCACACTCACCACACCACATTCACACATCAAAAGAAGGTATTCATATAGTGCTGAATAATTAATGTCACACGTAAATTTGGTCTAAAAAGTTGGAGATACCGGTCGACGATTAAGGACCAGAAGTCAACCGAAAGCCCCTAACTGGTGGTCGACGAGTAGTCATTTCACGTCCACCGAATCCTATATACATAAAAAAATAAATAAATAAAATACCACACAACCAGTTTCACCATTAAAAAGAAGGTATCTATATAGTGCTGAATAACTAACGTTACACATAAATTTTCTAAGGATCATCGATTAAAAGCCCCCAATCAGTTGACGTGTATGCACTTTATGTCGATTGAGTCCTATATATGAAGAAAAAAAAAAGAAAAAAAAAAAAAGAAAAAAAAAATGGGTTATGACTTTTTTAATTATTTTGCTAAATATCGGATATTTGATTGATATGTAACATTAGTTATTGAGAACTATCTAATTCATTTTCTTTTGGTTGAATGTAGTAATAAATAAGTCAACATTCTTCACTTTTGTAATTGTTACATCCAACCAAACGCAGTCTCATGTCATGCGAAGCAAAGATCCACATGGTCAAATATTAACCAAGTAAAACAAATATAGAAAATTTCATGGCAATTGCACATAAGAGGATTTACCCTAAAGCAAAATATATATATTTGATTTGAATTGGATATCTACTTAAATCCAATCTATTTTATGTCCAATTCTAGTCCAACCTAGACCTGTGGTGAATTTTTTTTAATTTCAAAGAATATCCATATTTTGCCTATTTTGTAATTCGGATTCAAAATCTAAAACTTGATCCAATAAAATCCATTTTCAATGTAATTGGATTTGTGGTCACACCAGTTCTGTTTCATTCCCTAATTAATAGAACCATTAGCTAAAAGTCCACATTTAATCGTGACATATACAATAAAAATGCATATCACCACAAAAAAAGTCAAGTGTAACAACAATTTTTATTTTTTATTTTTTATTTTTTGAAAAAAAAAAATTAATAATATCATCTTGCCACCTAAACAAAATGCCATATTCAAATGTAAAAACTGCTTTAATAGATCAAACATATTATTCGACTTAAGCATTGATGTGGATTTTGATGGCCACAACAAGTTTCATCCTAAAAAGAGGTTGTAGCTAGCACTCATACTTAATAATGTCAGATGAAAAAAACATGCAACCTATAGCTTGTATGATATCCACGGTGCCACATTAGGACGCTAACTGGTTTTCTGCTAAAATGGATCCACTTCACCTAATATTATCCTCTCCTTCTCTCTATAAATCCTCTCTCTTTCCCATCTCCAACAAAACACACCATTCAAGCCCACTCCTCCATTTAATTAGTTCATCTCTGTATATCTATTTCTCACCCTTCAAGCCCACACCAAAAACCAAGAAAATGATGAGCCGAATTCTCTTCTTTCTGACACTTACACTACTAATCCACTTCCATTTCAGCACAACACTAGCTCAGTCCCCGGCAGTGCTCCCAGTGCCGACTGCACCATCCCCGGTGGTAGCAGCGCCCCCAGTACCGACTGCAGTGTCCCTGATGGTAGCTGTAGACATCGAAAATTTTATAATGAAAGTAATCATCATTTAATTAATCAATGGGTCAAAATGATTCTTTGATGGCCAGTCAACGACGATTCAGAGTGTAATTTGGACCTTCTACGAATTCAGCCCAAATAAAATATTGGTAATGGTTCAAAACTAAATTAACCAATAGCCCAAGTTCACCTCAAAAATGAGTTAAAAAACCCAAACCCACTTCAAAAATGGGTCAAAGGATAATTGTCATTCAAAATAATTATACATAATTATCTTGATGAATAATTAAAGTGATAATTATCAAACCAACACAAATTATAATTCTATCCCTCCATTGAGTCTATAAATAGAAGTAGCGGGGTGGAGAGTAAAGGACTCAAGGGGAGAGTATTGAAGCTCTGCCAAATTCTTCTCTCTTAAGAACAGAACGTTGAAGCTCTAGTGAATTCTTCATTGATCAACATCAAACCTCCAAAGCATCCAAAATCGAAGCTCAAAAGCATCCAAAAATTTAGAGTTCTGAAGAACAACAAGCACCTTACAATCGTGTCGTTTATCCATAACATCCAAAGCCCTAAAGTTCTGAAGAACAACAAGCACATCAAAGTCGTGCCGTTCTTCCTCAACGATTCAACAAATCAGAAAGATCAACAAAAAAAATGTTCGAGATCAATCCCTTTAGCCCTCAATTAGAAACTCTTTCTAGTTTTCGTCAACGAGAAAGACTTAAGGAAGACACTCAACAACCCAATTCAAGATCAAAGCTCGAGTAGTCTTTGGATCTGAACCGCAAAGGAGATCGAATCAGAGAATACACTCTTTTTATTGTAAAGATATTTACAGAGGATTGTATCCGAATTTTACAAAATTAATAAAATTGACATTTGCTCCATAATTTGTTCTTTATTTTGCAATACAAAATTTTGTGTGTACAATAGCAGCGTCCCCAGCACCTACAGGTCCCAATATCACCAAAATCCTCGAAAAGTGTGGCCACTTTATGCTCTTTATCTGGCTACTGAAAAGTATGGATGCTCAGATCAATTCCCAGCTCAATGACTCAAAAAGTGGCCTAACTGTATTTGCACCATCCAATAATGCGTTTTCGAACCTCAAACCGGGCACTATTTGTATGATTATTTATTCAATTGTGGCCCACATGATTTGGACATGTGACATATTACTTAGTGGCTAAGTAAATAGATATCAATTAATATTATTTATTTTTTGTCAACTTATAATTATCTTTTTGATAATTAGTTATTGGAGAAGTGTTTTCCTTTCTTGTTCCTTATTTTGATGGAAAGTGGAATTAAGTCACTGATAAGGAAAACCGGTCCTCTCTCTGCCTTTATAAAAGTGCATATACTCCATCAATTATGTACAATTGATGATACAACACGTAAAAGTTTTATGTATGCAAAAGGCCAAGAGAGAGAAATCAGTTTCCACGTTTTGCGTATGTATTGATTAGAGTTGCAACTTAGTTCGTGGTTAAAGGATCTGAACGTTGGACTTAATCTCAAAAAAGTTTGATATCATGATCGAGGTATGTATATCTAACTATATATATTTATGCGTTATAAGGATGTAAAATTAATTGAAGTTCTAAGAACTAGGAATTTATGATTATTTGAGATTAATATCTAACACAAATTAATTAGAGTTTACATGTGGTATCAGAGCCCGTAGTTTTAGAATTCATTATTTTCCATTATCCTTGCATAAATAATGTGTAAGTTTAAATTTAAATTAAATAATTAAATAATTTTAATTTATTATATACGGACACTGCTTTAATAGAGACCCGTCTGCCATGATCAAAATTTTCCAATTCATGTACCAGTAGCGTTTTTGAATTAGTGTCAAGAATTTGTTTGTATATATAATGATCAGATTTGTTGTTTGTTAGCTTCAGACAATTGATGTTATATGTTGTTCCTCAATTTTTGAACTTATGTGTGTGTATATATATATATATATATATATATATATATACAATTACCCAGATTTCGGTTTCAAATTTTAAGTTTTAAATGAAGTATTCATCAAAGTCAACATAATATATCAGCAGACTTAACCTATAATATATATATATATATATATATATATATATATATATATATATATATATACATACACACATAACATAATGAGACAAAATAAGTCAAAAGAGATTTTTTTTTTTTTTTTTTTTTGGTGATTCAGTATATAGAATGAAAATTTTGTTTTAAGATTTCGCTGCACAAATCGAGGTTGCCAAATTGTAATGATGTCTTTTGTTTTGTACATGATTACATATGCTTATTGATATACACCTACAGTACATATATCTATGATATTTTTGGGCACCCACTAGCAGTTTAATTAATTGACTTTGTGAAGTATGTGTTCATAATGTGGTGGGTAACTTAATGTTGGATTTATCACTAGTTAATTTAATATTTATATTATAGAAAGGTTGGTAGCTATCAAAGCGGCCTAACCATAATAGTTAATTGATATTAATTTTAGTGGTAGATATAATTGCAATTTTTCATGAATAATGATGCTTATAATTTTTGTAATATTCATGAATATTGGGTTTATTGAATTATTAGAAATAATTCCTCAAAGGAAATTAATTTTCAAGTGGTTAAATGAACATTAAGGAGTTGTACGTAATTTTTAATTTGGTAGATATAGGATATCCAAGTGTAACTTGTCTATTTAATTAATTAGTGCATCACCAATGAAACTATATAAATAAATATATTTAAGTATCATTTTTTTGGTATTTTGT